GAGGCCCTAGCCATTCACACTCTCAAACCTGATCTATGCAAACAACGCGAATGGTTAGTCACACTAGCTTTGCCTTGGTGATTGACCCCATGCCCTATCTCACTCCCCCTTTTTGCGTTTTTGTTTTCGCGTTGCGTTGTCCGTTGTGATTAGCGACCTTGTGTTTTTTTTCTCTCAAATCTGTTATCTCACTGACTATAAAAATCCTTTGGACTGCAGTATGCACGTGTACAGATGCAGCGAAATGACCATGGATGCATTGTGCAAACCCATGTTTCTGACTTCTCTGTTCAAATCTCTACGATATTGTCAAGCTCCTTATTGTTGACAGACAAGTATTTCTGGGGCGGTCCTTCTGCATCTGCAGATAAACGTCAGTCAAGTTGTCTCCCGTTGTATGGACGCGCAAATCGGAATGCGTCTGATTTTTCTTCCGCTGTAAGCAAGGTAATAACTTACAGTTGGTTATTGTTTCATGAGATTAAAGTGACAACGTGACCTGCAGGTAGCCTAATGGAGAACTGCATCGTCGTAGGAGAATCAAAGGATGTACCGTAAGTCACTGTGCAACGTTACTGACAATTTACTCGCAATGACGTTTTCAAGAATCCTATAGAGGTTATGCGCCTCCAAATGCCTCATTTTTGTCGGGGTGGATGACTAGGGCTGCGGTGGTTACTCTTCCCTTGCACTTTGCGAAATGCTCCCGTACGACCAAGCGTCTCTATTAGCCTCTGCTGAGGAAGCCCTACTCACTGCCTTCTCGTGGCAGTGTTTTCCCACCAAAGTGAGATGACGAAAAGCCGACATCCGGCTATAACCGGGTTGGTGGACCACTGGTAGTTTACCTAAGGGAGTTGACCCAAAACCGTGATTCCGAACCAACCGAAAGGAGGTATACGAACCACACATACTGTCCCGGTTGTGGTCATCAGCTAGATCGGGCACCTTGGACGTTTAGCCCCGTCCAAAAGGCGTATGATCCGATGAACCCGAAACCAGCCCCCAGTGGATTGCGCTTTTCACACACCGCCCGCTGACTTGCTTTTGTTGTACTTCCCTCAAGAAAACTCACTTGCCTTGGCTTGAGAAACCCGACAGTATTCAGCCCACAGGGGAATCATGGAACGCTTTTCTCTTTTATAAAGATTATTGTACCATGATTTATCTGGCACACAGTCTGGATTCAGACGTGTGTGAAAATATGGTATAATATAGAGGTTATGTGCCGGAGTGAAGCAACCTCGAATTCATCCTAAATCGCATCATTGCTATTGAAACATATATGGGAGGGAGTACGATAACTCTGTCTCGGCGTTATTTTTCCTTTATCACCTCATTTTCTTTTAAACAACAGCCAAACAATGAAAATCTTCCATTCAGGATTTTTGCCCAACTACTGTCTTTTTTGAAGAGAGAGCATAACAAGGAACTCACCTGAACACCGAAGCGTTCACCGGTTTTAGCGTCTCGATACCTGTACACGTGAACTGCGGACGGGGCGTTGCCGAATATGCGACACTTTGCGGCAGCCGGAATGTAGTTCTCCGCGAGCAGATCGGCGGTCTAAATAATGAAAAGTGATATCATTTGTTAATGAATCACATTATAATTAAATGCACTATCACCGGTAGATTCGCAGAATTACAGACGGGAATATGTCGAAAAAGATAAATATTCAAACAAATTGCAGTTCGAAGAATGTTTCCGGACTGCCGATCGGAATTTAGCCAAAAAATACATTTTTGGGAACCGCAATGAGCTTTCACAGGGAAAAATTGTACATGCCAAAACTGGAAAACAAACCCGCTTTATAATGATATTTTCATTACTGCTCAGTTTCCGTTCCTCGAGGATGGGCCTCTATTTTGTAGGACAACATGGGGACGGTGATAACTATTGTAGTGGGAGGCTACGTTCGGTCAAGCTAGGAAGTATTCTGCCGACACCTTTTTGTACTAGTCATCACTGATCACTCTCGATCGCTACTTCGGTCTAGCAACACTCACTAACCGGCGTTCAGTAGTCCAAGTAGCCAAATTCTTCATCCGCAACTATCAGTGTATGGCACTGCTGGCCTCAAGCTTGTAATAGTCCAAAACCTCTTGGCCTTTACCGTATAATAACAAGGATGAATAGTATCTGATAGTGTACGTAGGTTGGCATTAAGTTCATCGGAAAGAGCGACCGAGGATTTTTCCAAGCTTGACAAATTAAATAAATGAGGTGTGAAGTAGGCGGGTAAAAGAATTTAGGTCGAGTGGATGCACAATTCACCTGTCTCAGTGTGTGACCCTCGCGTACGGGGATGACTGGAAGACCCCACACAGGGGGCTCATCTTCGCAGGACTGTTTGACCAATAAAAACAGTGGATGGTCCAAACAACGCCAAGCGGATCGTATATTTTTGGTCTTGTCGTCTTCTGGAAACGAGGGAAAACAGAAGCAAACGGCTTGGTCATTTTCTATCAAAGAATCGTTAGACGAACGGGAATTTTACATGTTACGCCACGTTTTCATTCGTCAAAATTTGCGTTTGCATATTAACATGAGTAGAAACAAAGAACAATCGGCAAGAGAACATGTTTTCACAGTAGGAAATCTTAGACTGCATGTTCGCCTTAAACTGGACTCTCTCTTTCGTGGCACTAGTGAGACGATTTATTAACACCCAAAGTTCAATCGCTAGTTTTGAAAGCCAAATTCTATTCAACTTAATGCACTATGAAAAGAATACATTATCGCTACGAGAGAGATACTCGTTATGATATTGAATTTTTTGCGATTTCTTTTTATCAGAAGGATTTTGCATGTTTCAACTATCTCGACGCCTACCGTCTTCCTAGAATGAAAGATATAGTTGCGAAAATCCCTCAGTATGAAGTCGATGGCGCATTGGATCTTGCAAGTACGTACGAACAGATGCCAGTAAAAGAAGAGAAGCCTGCGGCAATGCATCAAACTTATCTGTGAGAGAAAGAAAGCACGGTTGAAGTTGGATATTACTGTTGATGACCTCAATGCCGTATTCCTATGCCAGTTTTTGGATATTTTTCCAACCCACTCACTATAAAATATTTCTAATGTGGAACCATTCTCATATTTTGATGCGCTAAAACTTGCAAATAGTTGTAAGTCGTTTCATGCTGCAGGCCCGGATGGTTTACCTCCAGTACTCTTCAAATTTGGTGCTGCTAGGGCGATCACCTCCATTGTAAATACAGTAGTTTACACTTCCATCATCCCAGACTGTTGCAGGCCGGTCATAATTATACCCATCCCCAAAGCATCCAAAACTTCTGCTCTATCCAAACGTTTTCGTCCCATGGCGTTACCATCTTCAGCACTTAAGTTGACTCAAAAGACTATCATCAAACGCCTTCAGCAGTCTAAAACCGTTAGGGTTTGCTTAAAAGTCGGACGGATCCACTTTAGACAGTCTCAACTCTTATTTATTTTATCACTAAGTCTGTTCGGTGTTTTTCTGGAATATTCTTCAGCATTCGATTCCATTACTCGGGTGAACTGAATTCCGTTTCGCCTGTTCGCCGAGCTTGGCAATTTGTTTGCAAACGTTTCATCACCAACCGAGGTGACATCATCAGTGGCCACTTCACAAGCACTGATGATGTCACCTCGGCTGGTGATGAAACGTTTGCAAACAAATTGCCAAGCTCGGCGAACAGGCGAAACGGAATTCAGTTCACCCGAGCTACGAGAACCGATTTTCACTATTTTGTCAATAAACTAGAATCGTTTGAATGCCCCAAGCAATCGTTAGTTTGACTATCCAATTAGTTTGTTGATAGAGAACAAACCACTAGACTTATAAAGGCTTCATCCAAACCCTAGAGTTGTTCAAGTAGCTGTGCTATCCCCACACCTGTTTTCCACGTACATTTATGGTATTTCTTGTGCACGTGTTTTGAAATATGCACATGATATGATACTGTGCCAACTCGTTTCTTTCTTCGATATAAGTTCCTTCGCTGACAAGATTGGTCACATTCACTTATTCTCTTCTCAATAGAGGCTAAACACTAGCGAGTGTGTTGAATGTTTACATAGTTTCGCACGCTCTTCCTACCTGACAAACCTCCACAGGCAAAAATAACCATTTACTACCTAGGGTGAACCCTGTTAAACATCTTGCTGTGAGTATAGTTAACAATCCTCGTTGGCCAAACCATATTCAAAACTGCGGCATCTATCGCTTAAAATTTGGAGGCTCAGACAGTTTCACACCCAGCCTACCTTATCTTACTGTATTTGTCTCCAGTCATTTTCTTTGGCTCACTTAAACAAAATTTAGAAGTTCAACTATTACTAGCCGCATTTCTTCTATTTCTGTGAAAGAGACTTCTGGTGTACGGTGCAGAAAATTACCCATTAGGAAGCAGGATAAAGATAGACTGCCGGTGTTTGAACACTGCTGTCTACGCAGCATTGCACGAATCTGGTGGAGAAGCCGGGCGAGCAATGCTGAGGTTAGGCGAAGAGTTTCACGTAACTGCGGTCACCCACTGGAGCCAGTGGTCGATCTCCGTAGATTACGTTGGTTGGGCCATGTGTTACGCATGTCACCAAAAAGATTGCCACGGCAAGTGATGTTCGCCGAGGCAGGCAGTGGATGGAAAAAAGCCAATGTCCCTATGCTGCTTTCAAACATTTTCCCCGCGGCATATGTTCCCTGTGACGGTTGGTCTGTATAGTTTCTTTTTCAAATGAAACGTAATGTCCAGTGCTTTCAAACGTTACACAACACAATACAAAACCATTCAGAGAAGCAGGTGGATTATATCGGTTTTAGAAAATCCCGTTCGGCGGTGGATCGCATGGCTCGATACGAGCAGTTTACAGGCCAATGACTTGGAGAGATCAACATGTCCATTTTCCCAGCTCTAAAGTATTACCAGTGTATGCTGCTTAGCAGACAGGGCAAGGATAATTTGTAGCAAGGACAATGTAGAACACGGAGCTCTGATTTATATGAACTATGGGCAGAGGAAAGCACGGCGATGGTCTAGGGTTCGTCGTAGCGTAAAGACCTGGCCGAAACAACCTTTCCGTCCCAATAACCCCAATGGTTTGGGGTGAATAACGTGACATACTCAATAATAAAGTGGTCAAGTAGAATAATTAAGGAAATCTTGATCACCATATGGATGAGGCTGGTACCCACAGATGACTTTGTTATCACTTATCCATAAATAGCCAAATCCCAAAGTTCGCCCTTACTATCCCAATTTCAGAAAAGCTCGTCGTTGGAAACAATCTTATTTATTGGGAAAAGCAAACTGAAACCTAACCTCGCAATTACCCAGAGAGGAGGGACGCATACCTAATTCACAGCCTCCTCACAAGTGAGGCCTTCGTTATTGAGACAAACTATAAGGTTCAAGAGAAGTATGCGACATATGATACGTTCAGACAGCTACGACAGCCGTTCGATACTATGAAATTGAAGGTTGAACACTACAGGGAATACTATTCCCGAAGACAACTCTCTCATGGAAATGTCTGTCCTTATAAACGGGCTCCGCGACACATGGCAGATCGAGGTCTTGCGGCCGAATAAGAATACTTCAACCAAAAGATAGATACCAAAACCAGCGCATGAAAATGCACAGTTAATGGTTGTGAAAACTGATACTCAGTAGTAAAACGAAGCAACTTGTTGAGAGTACAACATCCATTATTGCCATGAAACAATTTTATGTACAGCACAAAGCCTAAATGCAGTGATTTAGCAGACTGGCCCATTGGGGAGCTGAGATACTACAACCATTCAAGAGAACGGACTTCAACCTAGACAACTTAACTATTCTTCCATGTCGCCGTGTGATTCCTCAACGGAGTAGATAGAACAGATATATCCACTAACCTGAAAGGTGAAATTGGCGGAGGCCGTATGAACCACGAAGATCACATAAGGAATTAAGAAGGAATGAGTTTCCGTCTAATCAATCACGTCTACTGCTCTAGATGCGTGGTTCCCCACCATGCCATTGGTATTCCATAATTAAGTCAGCCCCGGTTTGATAGACACCAAACCATTTCATAGTCTGATGATAGCACCCACCCAGTACTTACTAGGTGCAATGCAGCACAGTTATTGTGATCGACTGATAGCCGCGAAAGGATAGAGTGACTTGACAGTAAAACCGCTCTGTTGAAAAAAACGTGATACGACGCACCGATGCGGAATTAGAAATCTGATAAAAACAGGCAAATCGGTCTCTATCGGAAACGAAAAGTGTCCCTCCCGTTCGAAAAGAGGTCTTCACACTATTACGCCAGACCAAAGAAACGGAGAGGAAGCTCAAATGAGCAAATGAACTCCAACGCCCGATTGGGGGAAAACATCCAAGCGTTTATCTGGAGCGACAACTGGGGTAGACTAGTTTAGTGATACATCGGAGACGAAGAACGCCAATGAAAATAAAACCGAGGCGCATACCACCGTTTTGAATAAACGAACTATTTGAAACAATTAAGGACATCCGGGATAGGAACATCATACGACCCCGGACTCCATGTGGTTCGCATACACGGAGTTGATTGGATAAAAATATAGTGGCCTCGGGTTGTTTGGGTTAGACAGCTAAATTATGTAACGAAGTTAGCATTCTTAATGCTAGGAATAGACGCTCTTGTTGAACTGGATCATGCGGCAAGCTTCAGTATTTTAAATTTGATATCCATACCCTCGGGATAGTATGAATTACAGACGAAGACATTTCAGCTAATGAACGATCCTGCTACGTTATAACGCCTGGTGAACTGTCAAGGACTTGATCCCAAATAAGTATCTTGATTAAGTGAACGACATTATTTTACACATAGTCACTGAAACGGAACATCGGAATAACTTGAGGGTGGTCCTGTGCAGTTCGACTAACCTTAAACCTAAAAATCCATCACGAAACTGCAGCCTGACGTGGTGTGATGACTTGTGCACCTCTGTGACCCAACGAGCAACACGGAATGGCTTTTATCAAGTCAGGAGATCTTATCATGCCTGGAAGGTCAATGGGTGAAGGTCGGACGAAGTTCAGTCTCCTGGTCCTCCACGTTGGGGGTTCGACTGGAAGTTGCGTTTCAGTAAAAAATGGTGGAGGAATAATCGATCCAAGTAAATTGGCCCCCACTTCGCTTCACCCACTGCCTTGCGGTTAGGTTCTTGCTTTGCACCAGAACCCTAATCGTTCTCCTGCATAGTGGCTGGACACNCAGTACCCGTGAATCAAACCCCAATGCATACACCAAGTAAAAATAATTTCATACTGCATCGGTCGTCGCGCAGAATAATCATGACCGCGCTGCCCCTTGTATCGAGCGGGGTGGTTTGCGATAAGTGGGCTACTGCTCAGACATCCCAACCTTTGTATCGTATCCAGGATCCTACTACTATAAGCCAC